TGGCTGGGGGGGGGGGGAGAAGTGTCCGAAACTGCCGGGAGTATGCAGAAATTGAGAATGTGAAACTAAATCCCTATTCGAATGAATCATATTTTAACCCACTTAGCCATTAATTAATTTGTCGTCATGGAGTGCAGGTGTCTTGTCTTGTATTGTACAATACTACACAAACTGCCTTAATATTAAAGGCTATTGACGTGTAGGAGGGTGTGGGTGGGGGTTGAGTCATCATCCTGAATGTCTTAAAATAATACTTTTTCCTTGTCTCTTTACCATGTTTTTTGTTTATTTCAGACAAGTTATTGAAGCATTAGAGAAGTTTCCAGAGGCTGCCAGCCTACAAGCAGTAGGGCTTCGGGCTATTAGTCTCCTGGCTACCTCCAGTAAGAATTTCTTGTTTTACACAAATTCATCATCCACTGTTGTCTATGAATGATGGACTTTCCACTTAAAAAATGGAATTAAACAATTCCAAACACATTTTGGAACAACAATCGAATTAATTTTCAGAGGTGCCAGTCCTGTGTCGGGGAAGAGCTGGCGCAACCACTGCAACCCATTCGATCGGAATATTATACAACACCTTGCAGATACGGTAGCAATGCTCGCACTAAACATTTTTTAATCCCTACAATTTGATAGCTTAAAGCTACATTTACATTAGACACGATAACAACACAACAACAAGATTATCACATAGTTTATATTCTTCAACATTGATCACATTTTTCTTGTGTCGTTGTCATCTTGTTATTGTGGCTAGTGTATAAATGTAGCTTAAGTAAGGCATGCTTGATTGTACTTTCGGCGCATGAGATTTGCTTTTTTCCCCGATAAATTTGATGGAAATTCCCTGACAGGTTGTTGAAGCAGGAGGTGCCCAGAAGTCCCCAATGGGGGTCATTTTCCCCCTTGAACCCCGGCTAGCACCGCCCCTGAAGTGGACTGGGCCAGAGGCTGTCCTGAACCCCTTAGAAGGGGTGTAGGGGGGTAAAGTGAACCTCTAGCAATTTAGAGATTTGAAATGCTCGTGCAGCAGGTGCCTACAGTATAGCTTTTACTCTAGGTTTATTGTTTATGTGTAATTTCCCTCTGCAGAAACTGTGTGCAATAGGCTGATCCGTGATGAGGAGATTTTGTCAGTGGTGTTGGATGCTATGAAGTCCTTTCTAATGGATGCAATGGTACAGGCAGCTGGCTGCATGGCCTTGCATTACTTGCTTGCTGCAGGTAAGTTGGCTATAACGTGAGGTAGATTAAACAAAGGTTGTTTTTTGACTGGATATATTTTTCCAGTATCATTGTTCTACTTCCCTAATTGGTCTTGTTTGCTAAAGTTGATGGTAGTCTTTAAGAAAGCATAATACATACTCCAAGTATTGAAATACATGCAATTGTGTTGGGATTCAATATATCAACATTAGTTACATTTCTTTAATCAAAAAGATAGACTAGTTTTAGGAACTGTCATTACCTACCTACCTTATTAGAAAATATTAAATTTAATTTATTACTTGCATTACAGACCACATCATAATTTTAAAGTAAATCTTTATAAGCCTAAAACATGTTGGTATGTCTCAAAATTTTACACATGATCAAATATATAACACTATCAGATTGTGAAGAATGTTCTTTAAATCTAGTTATTAAGCATGTATCTGTCTTACCAATATAATCACTGTTACAACCTTGACATTTAAAATGATAAACGACAGAACTTCTATATTCCTTGGGGTTTGATCTTCTATATTCCTTAGGGGTTTTGATCTTTTAATATAAAACAAGAAAAATGTTTATACTGCCATAAAGTTATGAATTTTACCTTTTTAACTAAGTGTTTTTTTACTGTATTTAAACATCTACTTAATATGGATTCACCTGGTTTTTGACTAACTGCATAATATAACATAATGAGGCAGCATGATTTTCACTATGTATTAACATGTGAAATTAAACACTGCAAGGCAATAATTAGAATTAAATTAGACTATAAAAAATACTTCTACCTGTACATACAGTATCTTGTCATAACGTTTTATTATATCATATTTTAAACATATGTCAACCTTTGCTTAGTTTCAAGTTTTTTTTTTTAGTTTCTTTGTCTTATGATTCATTGCTTTTATGTTCAATTGATGTAACTTTTATAATAATAAAAATAATAATCAATATTTTTCTTATATAGCGCTTATATTAATTTTGTATGTATGCTCATGGGGTACTTAAAGAAAAACAAAGAGCAGAAAAATAATAAAAATGAAAGTGTTGTTATTATGATAATGGATAAAACTTGAAACTATTAGAAATATCTTATCTTCTAGATGTAGAAGATCAGAAGCAATTTTTTGCTGAGGAAAAATATTTTGTGATCATGGATGCCATTGAGAATCATGTGGACAAACCGTGTGTATTGCAGGAAGCGTTTTGGGCCTTAAACACTGTAGCTTTTCCAGGTAGGCATATGCGTTTCCACAGTATTTCCGTATTTCTCTAAATCAATTAGGCCTACTAATTGGGGCTAACCATATGAAGTCGAATGTTTTTGATAATTATTTTTATTGATATTTCCCCTTAGAATACTTACAAAATTTCATAATAATTTTTTTTATGTATTAATTATTATCATATCATCATCTTCAGTAAGCATTATCTTTCTTGTTATCTTCATGATATTTTGTTTTTTATTGAATAACTTTATCAACAACTTTTAACAGATATTCTAGGCCTACAAAATTAATGTAGAAAAACACCAATCCTGATTCACTGCAAGTAGCAGCATTTATTTTATTGCTGAAACTGACAATTGGTAATATTTTACAAAAGCTTGCACATATTGAAGTTTAATATTATTACAGTACTTCAGTTATGAATACACATAGATCATCAAAGGCTAAAGCTCCTTAAACTGATATGGCTTTTTTTGACCTTTTGTCAGTATCAGTTTTCTAAATGTGTATGTATGGTATATCACATTTGTTGTATGGTATATTTGTATACAATGTACTATGGTTGGGAGGTGGAAAACGGCGCCGCGAGCACCCCTACTAGGGATGGACCCAAACTTTTGCTTTGGGTCTCGAGCAGGTTTGCAAAAAATAATTCAATTTACATATTGATTTTCAGTTGTAAACTTTAACAGGTCTGACGACTTAAAAGGAGAATTAGAAGGTGAATCCTCATTAGAACAAATTTGTTTATTTGTCCACAATGAGTATTCTGAAATTCATATCACTATTGTTTTTCTGTTGCCGTTTACCACAACATATTTGTGTAAATCTAATCTTCCAACAGTTTAAAAACAATTTATAGAAATAAAACAGAAAGTTACTGTTGCAAATGCAAACAATAATATTAAAAAGTCCCTGTCCTGCATTTTGGTTGATAAGATTACACAGTAGTAACCAGTGGCGTATCCAGGGGGTCCTCATGGTGCATGATAACCCTACCACTTCCCCTTTCAGCGGTTGAAACAAAGAAAACGTTCCCCTTTTTAAATGTTAAAAAATAACTGACATAAATTTTAAGTCTTAAATGCCATTTCCTGCATCAGAAGTCCTCAATTCTTTGTTCACCTCAACCTCTACCATGATGGGGTTCAGGTGGATATAATAATTTTTGTAGATTTTTTGCATTAAAGTGCCACTTTCCGGCATCTAAAAGTTTCAATTTCTTACAAATGTCTTGCCTCAGCCTTAATCACGATGGGCTGAGGTGGATGGTAGTTTTCATAAATTTTAAGTATCCAAGTGCAGTTTTCGGGCACCATATATAAAATATACTCATCTCTGCGCCCAAAATTTTGGTGGGGCTCTGGTGGATATCATAGATTTTGTACTCAACTACTATATTCGTTAAGTCTCAAACTCTTAAAATTTTCTCAGGTGGATATGGCAGTTTTTGGAATTGTAAGTATTTAAGTGCTGTTCTCGAGCACCTATTTGATTAATTCGTGTTTTTTTTTTACTCATTTCGTCAAAAATAAGAATAATTATAAGGTCTTTAAGTTCCATTTTCTGAGATTAAGAGGTATAAATACTGAACATTTTCTGACGTCACTGCCAACCAAAGTGGTGCTGATGTCGTGGACTCCCATTTCATGCACCTCCTTTCTTAAATTTTGGATACGCTGTGTAAACACAGGGTTAAAATTTAAGTTTAAGTTCATCAAATATATAATTCAAAGGTTAAAAATATTTTCTGCAAAAAAGTCGATTATATTTTTGTTTTAAATAATAAGTTATTTCATTTTCCAGTGACTGATTCAACGCTCCACCCCCAACCCCACCAACCAATAAAAAAAAAAAATATTAGAAAAAAAAAAGGAAAATTGTATTTAATCTGAGAGTGCCATTTCCGGCCATCAACGGGTGCCTTAATCATAAAATGCATTACCTCACCCCCAACCATGGTGGGGTTGAGGTGGAGAGATCCTCTATCTGTGAAAATCTCTCATTGGGCACCTAATACAAATTCCTGTATCCGCCACTGTTTTCTCAAAAGGAAGATCATTAGTAAATAAAGGTCCTTGTTATACTAATGTCAAGTAGTCATTTTTTAAAACATTAAGCATAGCATTTTTGTGGTCTTATAAAAGATCGATGTGAAATTTACTATAACATTTAATATTATGGGTCGCGGCTTGTCTGGAATATTAAAAATTGGGTCCCAGAGAAAAAAGTTTGGGAAGCAGGGCTCTATAGCATGGTAGTGTGGTATAACATAGCATGGTTGTATGTTGTGTTGTGTTTAGTTTGGTTTTAGGGTATGGTTGGTTGGTATATTATTACCTCTGTTATAAATATAAATATTCATTGAAGGCTGCTTTCTAAACCTGCTTATACCTAATAAGGCTTTTGTTTTTAACCTGTGTCAGTATCACTGTCAGTTTTTTTTTTAATGTGTATGTATGGTTATATCATATTTGTTGTATAGTATTTTTGTATAGGGCCTACTATGATTGTATGATATAACAGTAGTATGTTATGTTGTATGGTTTGGTTGTAATACTTTTGTTTTGAATATACATCATCATTGAAGGCTATTTTCTATTTTCAATATAAAAATATTATGATTATGAGATTATGTAAGCTTAATTTGATTTTATTAGAGTTTAGATATTTTTTCTTCCTTCAGATGAGACATATGATGTGTTGCTGTCCACATCGCATAAACATTTGTTCAGTGCAATGGCTAGGTTTCCTGAGAATCTTGGTGTACAGATGGCCGGCTGCACTGTCATTGAAACCTTTGCTAGATCAGGTGGGTTGAAGTTGCAACCTTAAGCCAGGCACTCAATGTGTCGTACCATGATGGTCATATGACTGTTGTACAACAAATCCAACTCCACTCTCTGTGAGTGCTAGATGCCGTGACGCCATCTGTTAATTGCCGGTGGCAGTCTGAATGGATTGTCATTGAAAGCAATCCTTTGCGCGTGCGTCGTGACGCTGCGTTTTCCATAGACTAGCATTACTCAAATTGCCATATAATATATTGTAGGTGTTTTTCCCTAAATTGCATATTATTTACAAGCAACCAACTATTATTTAAAAAAAATAAAAATTGGAAAGCAAGCAAAGTCCAACGACGACAGAAAAAATAGCAAAATCCACATTAAAAAACAGCACGACGGAAACAAAAAAAGATCAGAACGCACCAAAAACCATCACTCAAAATTTAAAAGATTAATAAAATATGGGATTGGATTTTTAGTATATCCTAAAGTTCTACAACTTAGACCATCGGGTGTTCTTTATTTCCCAGATGAAAGTACTAATTTCTTGGAAGTGAATGGAGCATCAAGACTTATTTTAGCTGCTATCAGAAACTTCCCAAATGATTCTGATCTACAAGCTGTAGCCTTTAATTTGCTTGACCTTCTAGGTAAGTAACAAGCAATTTTATTGGTCATTTGTCATGGTTAATTTATTCATTCATCCATTCATTCACTCACTCTTTATTCAGCCAAACACATACATTTACAAAAACAATGAAAATTGGACAAGCAACAAATTGTACAGTTACCTAAGTTGGCTAGGATTGATAATAATGATGAACACTCCAGCTCAAAAGCCTACCAACCCAAAAACAGATACTATATAAATAAAATTTAAATAAATTAACTAAAAATTCCCAAACTACCAAAAACAAAAGGCAAATCAGGAAAGAAAAATACAAAGGATTATTAAATAACAGGAAAATCATTTTGGAAAATAAAAATGGAAAAGGAATTGAAAAATTAATAAGCTATAGTAATTGATCTACTATTTAAAAACAAACAATTTAAACCAAGAAATCATGGATAATTTCTAAACTGAATCCAAAACAAGTTCCAACAAAACACATTAAGTGAAAGTGGGAAAGGAATAATTTACCGAAAATTAAATTCAATAGACAAGTAAAATTTGGTACTAAAATATATTTAGATTTCTTTATTGAAATTTAAAAACGGCTTAATATTGTTTGTTGATTGCATAAAATATATAAATCTTAGATATTATACTTACAAACTTAATATTAACATTGAAAGTCTGCCTGTCAAACTCACAATAAATATTCTCTTGTTTTTCAATAAAACAGGTATCAGCTACTTAAAGCTTTTACCTAAGTATGGCACCATTTCTAATCTATAACGATTATGCTAGAATCTTTTTAGTCTAAATTCAGAGGAAACTTTTGGAAGCAGTGAGGTAGACTATGAGTGAGGTACTTTTAAAGTATTTACAAAATAGACTTGGTTCACATAGTAAAGGATGACTTGGCATAATGAAATGGTTTTGTATGGGCTGGCCACTGTGCTTGTGTCATTTGGGTATGCACTTAATCTCTCTCTGTCCCTCCACCCAGGAACACACATATTGGTATCCTCAAGGGTATTCATCATGTGGAATGAAAACAGTCTTATATGTACATGATTTTATTCATACCTTTCCAATATTTTTAACTACTAGCATGTATAGTCATATAGATCTAAACCTGGAAATGAAAAAAACATGCCAATAGGGAAAAATGCCAATATAGAAATAAATGCCACAACATTGGAACAAACCATTTAATAATAGGGGTATTGGGCATATAATATTTAACCATTCCCCTTATGGAAATTATATATAATTACCCTTATCATTAGGTACTGCAATTGATAACAACTCTAAAGTGTCTGGTTCTAATTCTGAAACTGACTGGATTGAGGAAGCACACACAGCACTTACAGCTCATCGAAATCAGCCACAAGTTTTGGTAAGTATTGTAGTGGTTGGTACGTAGTATTGTATTTTTTTTCTTTTCAGATTTTCTGTTTAAAAATGTATTGTCCCATACAAAATACTCCAAAAATTTATAAAAATTATTTTTGAAATTATGCTAATTTTGAAATAACATAAAAATATATCAACTTGAACATAGAAATTAGTGTATTCAAAAAATGTGAAAAATATATCTGTGCCAGTGATAATTAATATAAATCAATTTGTGATTGATGATGAACAAAAGTGATTATGATGATATCTTAAGACAAATTCAGCTAAGTTAACCTTTTGTATTTATTAAAATGTAAAAATAATAATTCTTTTACAAAATTTATTCAATTTTCTTTTGGTATCATTTTTTTTAGGATGCTGTTTGTAGATCTATAGTAAGGCTACTGATAGATAGACCAGAATGCATTGCAAAGACTGTTGATGAAGATTTAAAGTAAGTTTTATACTAGTATGTAAAAAACTTGATATCATTTAGCTAGAAAGCACAATATTGTGCAAATACAACTTGGTTGAGGTGAAGAAGTGCATCCTGCTTCTTGAGGTGTTGGATGATTGGGACTGCCTCCCGACACAAGGCAGAGGAGAATAGTCCCAAGCCTCCACCAACTAGCGGGGATTTAGTTGTGGTTGGCGGAGGTGGGCGGGGCCATCTAGCCTTGAAGTTTTCAACCCAGTCTAAAGCTAATTTCATGGCCCTCCACCCACCCTTTAACCCAATTTTCCATCCTTAAAATTCATTCATATTATTTAGAGTTTACCAATTTTATCACCCATCCACCCTAAAATTGTCTATTACGCACACTTAGTTTTTTACAGCTACAACCCTGAACTAGGGAAGTAGAATTCACTGCTTCACCGGAATACAACCATGTTTTGTTTGTTTTTCTATACCTCATAAATGTTAAACAGTTTCGATCTGTGAGGGTAAAATTACGCAGCTTGCACACGGTTCACACAGGCTAGTGTGCGGTAGACGATTTTTGGTGGTAAATTTTTCCCCCTGTGTGTGTCAACTTGGCTCTTACCGGGTGGAATTGACCAATGAAATGCTGTTAGTACCTAATTAATATTTATAATGCCCTCATTTCACTTTTTTGGAGTAACCATTTTTTCATTTTTAGTGTAATTTTCAATTAAGTATACTTGCCAATTTTGAGTTCAATCATAGATTTATAAACTCCTAATTGACAAAATATACCTTTACATTGGCACATATACAATATTGAATATGGCTCCACTAAGTATATAAACAAGTACATATAATTATGTAGTTATTAACATTAAGTTATCTGGCTCATTTGAGTTGTCCCTTTTTTTAAGCTACCCCTGTCCAGCATTTCTTCTTTTTTTTTTTTACATATTATGTACTGTCATTTTTAGTGTACGTTTGTCGAATAAACAACTGAAATGGAATTAATTATGATTGACCAAATGTTGAATTTCCTAAAAATATTGTTATGGGCTTTGTATTAATTAGTGTAATATTATTAAAGTTTGGCTTTAACAAAATGGTTTTTTTTTTTTTCATCATTGTGGATCTTATAGTTTTGTGAGCCACACTATCGGTATTGTGGGTGTAATATGACATTATGCCCATTATATGGGCACATCACACAAATTTGTCACATACAGTTTGAAAGTTTATGTAAAAAATTTGTCACATACAGTTTGATAGTGTATGTGACAAATTTGTCACAAACAGTTTGATAGTGTGGTCACATACACTATCAAACTGTATGACAAATTTGTCACATACAGTTTGATAGTGTTGTCACCTACACTATCAAACACTATAATTAAGACAAATTTGTCACAAACAGTTTGATAGTGTGGTCACATACACTATCAAACTGTATGATAAATGTGTCACATACAGTTTGATAGTGTTGTCACATACACTATCAAACTGTCTGACAAATTTGTCACATACAGTTTGATAGTCTTGTCACCTACACTATCAAACACTATAATTAAGACAAATTTGTCACAAACA